ACAAAAAAAAAAAAAAAAAAAAAAAAAAAAGCAAAGCAATGCCCTGGGCCATGTCCAGCTGGCTCATGGAATCAGAGCTCCATCCACTGGTGATGGGTTCCAAGCCTCACATAGCAGCCATTTGCAGTGACATGGGCACAGGGCCCCGATGTAGTACCTGGAGGGAGGGTCTCCACGCTCTGTGCTTTCTCATCTCCATTGCTGTGATGAAGCTCTTTCTTTTTAATAGAGTCAATTTCATTCCAGTCCTCCTGGAAAAACAAACACACCAAATCAGTCTGTGTGTTCTTTCTGAGCACACCTTCAATCACCAGTTCCACGCATTCCATCTTGTGATGCCAGCTCTGGGGACACATGGTGAGTAGGTGATCCCATCCTGATGGCCCCACTGCAGTGTCATTAGGTGGTCAGGGTGTATGGGAGTGGCCTTTCCACCATGGAAGGACTTCCACAGAACCCCAGCACTCCGAGGGGAGGAGCACAGGGATACAGGTGGTCAAAGGCTCTGTCATCATGTAGGTGGTTCTCTGACACCTCAGACGGCTTATAGTGCTTCCCTGGATCCCTCTAAACTCCACTGTTAACTGACCTTATGTAATCCATCTGAAAGACACCAGGGGGAGAACGGAAGGCTCACAGATGGAACAGAGGTGCAGTTAGGACCAAGTGCAAAACCCAGGCAAGACCTGAGTTCTGGTAGAATTCATCCCACTCATCTGGGCAAACAATATGCTCTAATTTATCAACATTAAATAACAGCTCCATGACCACAGAACTAAATGCATTTTCCACTCACTTGGATCTGATTTCTGTGAATAAAATAAGAAGGATTTCTCTACGTAATCCAAATCAGAAACAGAGCTGTCCTCTGGCCATTTCCTGAGCAGATGCCACTTGATGCTATGCAGCAGGAGTCCTCCCTGAGGGCTCTACCAGCTGGCTACAGGCTCTGGCACCCAGCACCCTCCAGACCAGTGTGGGCCATGTGAACTACGAGGTACTCTCTACCACGTACAGCAAGATCTGTAAAGGGTGGTCCTCAGGGACTGAGCTATGGGGCCCAGGCCACAGGATACTCTGCTGATAATGTGCCTTTCTGCTCAAAAGGTACAGTAACTAGAGGGAAGCCAGTCAAGTCCCCTCCCGCCTCTTCAACAGCTTCTTCCTGTGGCCTCTGTGCTAACTAAGCTGGGTAGAAGGGCACCTGGGCTTGAGGCCTCTTTTCAGGCCCTCACACGCCCTGTACTTTGGAAGGTCCAAACCCATGCCATAACAAATGTCTTGGAATACATCTGTATCTCAATTTTAAAATTCTTTTGCTTTTGAGACCATGTGGTTACAAATAAACTTCCAATTTACTACCAGCAATGATTTCACAGCAGCCCTGGTGAAATGCAGCAGTGAGGAAATCTAACTGACCAACGGGCTTCACAGCAGAAGGACTATGTGTGAGACTAAATCACCAGGTTTAATGAAGCTGCCAGAGTCACGCTGGTGAACTTTTAATTAAGCACTGATTTTTATTCTGTCACTTGCTTGTAGCATTTTGTGGCTGACAATTTTCCCCCATAGGCATCTGGCTTCCAACATACACTAGCTACTGAATCAAACTATTTAACTTCATACTTTAGCGAAATCAAAAGCCAATTTTGCCCTGGGGCTGTGACTCTAATCAAGTCATTATCTCTGGCATTCACCAAATCAATCTTTTCAGGTCAACTATCAGCTTTCTCAAAAAGTCAACATTTTTTCCTCCCCACAAAAGGGACCCTCCCTTCCCCCTTCCCAAGAGCCATACCCACCATAAATCCATGCTGGACACAAGACCAGGCAGGAGGACTAGTGCTGTGCATGGGCACTGCTCAGCCAGCAGCAACCCTGGCATTTCAATGAGCTCTTACAATGAGGACTTCAGATCAGAGAGGTTAAACAACTTTTTGGTTCACCCAGCTGCTAAGAGGCTGACGCTAGTCTCTGAGAAGCAATATGAGTGGCTGCTGGCAGGGCCTGACAAGGATGGCTACAGTCTAGAACACCAGAAACCCAATGCCAGGAACCTGAATTTCAGAAGGTGGCACTGGTGCTATGGATGCACACATCATTCATGACACTGAGCAGAGATCCAAGGGATGGGAGAGTGGAGTAAAGAGGGCCAGCCAGGAGGAGCCCACACTGGAGGGACTTGGGATGGAGAAGGTGCAGCCTGGGTCCACCTAGGCCTGGCCAAAGCTCTGGGTCCTCTTACCCCACTTAACAGCTTCTTTGACATTGCCTTAGTCCAGCACTCTGGGAAGCAGATGAGTTCACAGACACTTGGTGATCTTTCATAACTGCTACTTGTGCACAAGCATGTGGTACTCAAGAGGACCCCAGACCCCATGCAGGTATCAGAGTTGTCCCATATTTCCCCAGGGCATAAAATGTAGTTGCACAAAAACAAGTGCAGCTGAAAAGAGTCCTTGTCCTGCTTACTCTGCTCTTATTGGCTCTGCCCACTTACCAGTGGAAGGTATTTCCACAGCCCTCCCACAGTCACACACACCAGCTCTGCTATTAAAAATAGCGAGGTACCAGACGCAAACACACAAAGGCTCTCACACCCAGGATCCACTGGCATCTAAACTGGGCACCAACCGCTCAGTTTTCTCCCTTTAGGAGAGAAATGATACAATGACAGAGAGGTCCTCTTGGAGGTGACAAGTGTGAACTGGTTGAGATTAGAAAAGGACCACGTGGTTTACGACTGATCAGGAGCTGCAGTGAATTCAAGTGTGCAATCCTGGTTCCCAGGACACAGACCAGGCCCTGCTTTGTCTTCTGGCTATTAAAGAGTGTGCAGAATAACTTGCCACAGGGAGACAAGATAGGTCAGAAATGTACAGAAGAGAGGGCCAGGAGTTCTCACAGAAAGCTGGGTTCTGTTTGTGAGATTTTGACAGAGGTCTGGGATTTACTGCCAGCCAAATCGAGAAACATGTAGAGGAGGTTACTGTCTATTTGCCTTTACCACGTGAACCAGAGTGTTGGACACGTCCACGTGCCACCCCCAGAAAAAACTAGATGGCCTGAACTAGGGCACTGGGATTCTCTCCCAGACAGTGAGAATTTAAGCTTCCCTCCTCCCACTTACCAACTTATCATGCTGGTGGTTATGAGATGGATATCACACTATTCATACATGGTACACAGAAGAAACAGTCTAAACTAGAATTAAGGCCCTACACAAAATTTAAGGAATGGACTAGCAACTCTTCTCACTGTCAGGATTAGATGGCACAGGAGCTACATGCCCTGTCTCTTGGCATATACAATGCCAATGATATTTTAATAACACTGCTTTCAGAAAGATCTCAGCAGATCGAGCAGGCCATTTACTGGAGTCATTAGAAGAACATCTCTTCCTATAACTCCAGCTACAATTGTCTCTGTTCCAAAATAAGGATAAATAAATAGAAAGTGAGCATGACCACTGCCAGAGGCCTTGATGCTCTCCCAGAAACCTCTCCATGAAACCTCTCCACAGGGCTGTTCAGTGTTCCCTAACACAGTGGCTGTCTCCCCACACAGGGCATAGGGAGGCAAACTGACAGCAAGGAGACACCAAGGTACCTGTTATGACCTAGTCAGTGTCCCTCCTGCCATCTCCTCATCCAAGTGGTCCTCAAGCCCAGCGCCCACTGAAGAAAAGGAACTTGACTCCATCTTTGCGAAGAGGGCCTACAGAGAACTAATGCATAGATTATCTAAAGCCACTACTCTTACCGATGTCAATTACACCACATTTACCAATGTTGTAAGACTACAGTAGCAAAGATTTGTCCAAACCACCCAAAACAGGCCAGAAACTGCTGTGGTGGAAAACTACTCACGCACAGAGCCCAAGAACTAAATCACAGAGGCCAGTTTTTCCCACAATGACCCCTCACTGAGTCCAATGCTGTGTTAGTATGTCTGAACTATGAAACACCACACATAAACATGCTTAAACACACAAACCAGGTAACAATGAAGAGTAAAATGCTACATATGCTGTTAAATGGCCAAGGCTGCCTTCACATAATTTAAGTGGCTAACGTATTTTTTAACAGAGGTATAAAAATATTACTGTGGAAAAAAAAGAAAATAGGCTGTTTTTATGTCTGTCCTGCTGAAATACATTCTGTCACTGTTAAACTACTTCAGCTACTAGCCCATATGCTCAGACACAGATTAAGAAACCAAAAATAACGCTGAGTGGGATTCCTTTCCCATCAACTGTCTACCTTTCACTATTACTTAATGACTGACTGGTAATTACCACCATGGCCAATCCATACTGCAAAACCTTAAAAAGCCAGGTTGGCAGATAGGATAAAGAGAGATGACGACATAGATTTCGAGCCCATCTCTCAAGAGCAGGCACTCACTGCCAAGCTAAGCTCAAACTCACTGAAATATGGCTCATTCAAAAGGATTGAAGAAAGATCTATAGAAAGCTAAGAACAAGACCTCAATGACCAACCACGGTCACCCCCAAGGGGTCCATGGAGCCTCTGGAGTACCAGTGGTGGTGCCCAGCTCCTGAGTGTGTGCTCAGTAAGGAGGTACAGAGGATACCTGCAGGCCCTCTCAAAGAGAACACCCACTGGCACATTGTCACCAGCCCAATGGCCGCTCTCTCAGTTGAGTGTACAGCAGCTAGCCAAACAACAGACTCAGAAAGGGACTGCCTAGAAGATGCCCTGCAGCTGGGCCCTACAGATCACCCAGAGCTCAACAAAGCGTCTCTAAGGACCAGTGGCCCATCCTTGGCCACACTGGTCTCTAACACATAGAGAGGAGACTGGGTTTTGCTTCTAAATGAAGGATCCCATTGAAACCAATGACTTAGATAAGGAGGAAGAATGGTACCTCACTCCTCACCATCAAGAAGGGGACACACTTTAGCAGCCACAGACACACTTCACGCATCCCTCAAATTTCTCTAAAGCCCTGTCTGGCATCATAGTAGTGGGTGATGCAGGAATGGCCAACCCCCTCTCACTCTGTCCCTGGAGGAGAGGAGTAGGCACAGCTAGAGGGACAACAGATGCTTTAACTGTTCCCAGAACCCTCACTGGGCCAAGAATCAAAGGACATAAAGACAGAATCAAGGTGGGGCAGAACAAGGACAGACAGAAAGGCCCAGTTCCAGGGTTAGTTCTGTCCCAGCCATGAGATCACAGCCCTGAGGACAGGGTCCAGGCTGGGGGGAAGAGAGACCCAGGTGGCT